CAGAAACATCTTACTCCTGCTTTCCCCCAGGTGGCCCACATCCCTGTGATGGAGTAAGAAAGCCTCCTTGCCCAGAGGGGCCAGTTAACTCCCCTGAAGTCACACAGTCCACAGCAGGTCTGGACTCAGAGCTCAGCAGAAGGGGAAGGAATTTTGCTGGGAGGTCACTCTCAAACCATGCAGCTGCTGCTCTGTCAGAGGTCTTCCTGGGGCCTGGTGGACGGGGGCTTGGGGGGCTCTCCCAAGCTGAGCAGCAGAAGTTGTGAAGGTGAGGGAAGGCAGGACCCCTTCTCCTGGCTCCTCATGAACGTTTAGGAGGCAGCTCCCCCTGCCTCCAGCTCCCTCTTTTCCCTTTAGAGCCCTCCCTGAAAGGTTAATTACCAAATCATCCCATCAAGGGAAATTGCACTTTGTGCCTTTAAAGACCAAACTGAGCTTCAGCAATGTGGTTATTTATGGTCTCTAATAAGCATTTTCTGGGTGTGATTAACCTTTACGCCAAAGTCACACTGGGATTTGGGATGGCAGCTTCAATTCCAGCCCTGCTCTGCGCTGGCCTGGGGGTGGGGGCAAGGGCAGCAGCTGGAGCAGGCAGCTGACACACTGTGCCCCTTCCACCCCACCCTCTATGCCCAGTCCTGCACCCTCCTCTACCCATCCCTTCTCCCATGCCCTGTCCTGACCTGAGCCATCCCCTCCTCCATCTTTCATCCACTTAAAAAAACAGACACGGATTGCCTGCTTACTGTGTCCTAGTCCTCACTCAACAGCTGAAAACAGTTCAGTGACCTGGAGCACCTCAGCTGTGAAACCCGTATGAAACGGGAAGCATGAGACCTACCCATCTGCTTTCTGCAGCGCAGTGCCCCTTGGTACAGGTGAGTGAGCCTAGCACTCCGCCAGCCTCAGATCCTTGGTGCCATTTTTGGAAAATGGTAAACCTTACAAAGTCCTGAAGGCTTGGTTTGTCAAAAATTGTTCTAAGCCCGGCTGGTGTGGCTCAGTGGTTGAGCATCCACCTATGAACTACTAGGAGGTCACGATTCAATTCCTGATCAGGGCACATGCCCAGGTTGCGGGCTCGATCCTCAGTAGGGGGCATGCAGGAGGCAGCTGATGGATGATTCTCTCTCATCATTGATGTTTCTGTATCTATCTCCCTCTCCCTTCCTCTCTGAAGTCAATAAAAATATATTTTAACAATTGTTCTGAAAGGAGAAAAAATGGTGAGGGCTGATGTTGGGGGCGGGGAGGGAAGCAGATGGAGGCATCCGAGAGAGTGGCAGTTCCCAGGTCAAACCACTTTGGGGTCGCCGTCAGAGAGGATGACAGGTACGGTTGGTGAGGCCCGGGCCTCCGATGTGACCCCATTTGCCATATGCTCCGGGGATTTGGGGGTTGTTAGGCCTCCTTGAGAAGTGGCAGATGCTATGCACTCTCCCCTGGAAAATGGTTGTCATTACACACTACTTGTGCATTTACTTACAGGGTTTCGTGCCCCTACCCTTGTGTGCTTGAGGACCCTCCATTAAGGAACTCTCAGCTTCAGAAAGAAATAAACAGCATCCTTGAAACTCTGGGGCCTGTTCCTACAATGCGGCAATTGCCTGTTGATGGAGATAGAAAACTGCAGTGAATGTTGAAAAGGAGAGCAATGGATGGTGGGAGGAAATACACAGGAAATACTCCCGATTTTTCATGGAAGTGTGATTCGGGAATCAACCAGAAGCCTCTTCAAACCCTTCCGCGGAGCTTGACGTGGCACAGACACACGTTCTGTGCAGAGCTGACCTTTCCTGAGCGGAAAGGTTGGTTCGGGAATATTAAGAAGCCCTTTTCTTTGCATAATGCAAAGCCAGCCCTCTCATGGTAGAAAATGACTCTGCGAACCATCATACCCAAGAAGGAGATGTAAGGGTCAGGGTTGTAGGCAGCCAGCCAAGGACAGGCTAGCCCTTTGTCCTGGGGCATTTGGTTTGGTTTCATGATGAATCCGGATTGCTCTTTTCCTCAATGAACCCGAGACATTAAGACTCGAGGCTAAGACGTATGGCTGGTGTATTTTCCATCTAATTAGAACCCTGGGGCGTGAGTGCTTTGTCTCGAGGCTGTTTCATGCATCTGGGGCTAGTCCAGGGTCCCCATCTGCTGGTGTCATGAGCACCAGGGTCCAGCGCATGTACAGAAGGGACGGGGTGACTGAGTCGCTCCACTTTGGAGGGTTAGGGAAGGTGCTGCCAAGCGGAGGGGCTGTGGGACTGGCTTTTGAGGCCACCAGGGCTCACCAGGCGAAGGGTGGGCCAGGCTGAGGAGGGGCGAAGGCCTGCAAGAGCACAGGTGTGCAGACACCCGCAGGATCCATGCACTGATTGATAAGCAATTCCATGGGAATGAAATGCGGTATTTTAAGGGGATCTGAAGACTGAAGCACAAAGCGCAACTTCAGGGTCAGAAGGATAATGGTGGAATGTCAGGCAGCATGACTGATAATCTGGAACAGGGTGTTTCCGTTTCTTTAATTTGCCTGTGGCTGAGCTGCCTCCTGGAGCCCCACTTCCATTCTCTGTGTGCGTGTGAGCATGTTGGGAGGGAGGGGGCAGGGAGTCCTAGCCTCCTTCTAGAAGGAGCCCCTGGCCCCCTGAGCGACTGAGCAGCTCCTCTCCGGGGACAGAGCAGAGCTGGGTCCCTGCTGACTGTGCTGAGCTGAGCAGTGCAGGTTTGTCCCCGAGGACTGCTCTCTGCTCTGCCAGCAGAAGCCACTGGCTGGCCTGGTGGCTTCCTCTTCTCTCCGATTCTGCGTTTTCACTTGGAAAATGAGAGTAAAGATATTTCACCATCTCTCCGGCGACTGCGAAGTTTAATTACTGATTAATAAAGTGTTGGAAGTTCCTTGGGGCCAGAGAGTTGAATGGGTTCGTTCTAATATCTCCCGACTCCCCAGCGTGAATTAGCTAAACCAGCACTGTTCGCTGAGCAGCCGGGGTCTGGGCACCAGATGGGGGTGCAGGGCTGTGGGGGGTGCTTGGGAGCTTGGCTCAGTAGGAGCACAGAGACCCCTTTGATGTGAAAAAGGAGTGTGCCTGTGAGTGAATAGTCAACAAGCCCACTAAGGACTCAGGCAGGGCACTGAGGGGACAACGTATGTGAATTATCAGGGTCAAAGAGGGGGGGGTGTGGCTTCCTGAAGGAGGTGGTGGCAGGACAGACTCTGACCGGGAGTGGGGAGCACTCGAGTCCACCTTGGAATGTAGGGTAGGAGAGAGGGGAGCACAGCCTGCCTTTGTCATTGGACGGGTGTGGGAAGGAGCAGCTACCCAGAAGTGGGTGGCCCTGGGAGGGGCAGAGGGGGACAGGGCCGGAGAGGACATTTGAGACAGGTGAGCATGGAGAGTTCGCCTCTGGAAAAGGGCAAGTCGGTTTGCCTCTGGACTGGGGGAAGGTCCTGAGGTCCAGAGGGGTGAGTGGGGAGGGGTGCAGGGGAAGGGAGGAGGTACTAGTACAGCCTTGGGGAGGGTGGGAGGGGGATGCTGGAGTCTAGCTTGGGCAGAAGGCACGGGAGCAGGGCAGGACCAGGATTAGGGTGAGGCCAATGAAGCATTCTCCTCAAGTGCAAAATGTAAGGTGCCCCAGATCTCAGTAATCAGATAAATACTATTTTAATATTATTACTGATCTTTCCTTTTACCTCAGGTGCCAATATAGCCCCGCACTGTTACTGATCTTGTCTTTAAAAAAAAAAAAAAGGTTTTGAATATTTTGTTCATCATGGATTTTTTTTGCATTAATTTAGAGTTCTTTTAATATTGCATTAAAATATTATTTATCTTGAGTACTGAATTTTCTGGTGCTCCCTTAAAATTTGTACCCGAGGCGATGCTTCGCTCTCCTCACCCTGTTCCCGGCCTGTGAGTGAGGGCTGTGCATCCACCCCCCTGCCCCTCCTCTAAACTAGCCATTTGCTCAGTGGGACTCAGACAAGCCCCTCCGTCTCCCCACCTCATTTTCCCGCTGTGAAGATCACAGGGTCTGCACTGTGCAAGTCTTCAACAAAAGCTGGAGAGAAAACAGGCACAGAGAGGGCAAGTAACCTGTCCATGGCAACACAGTGAAACGGGCTGGACGCCGGGTCTCTTTTGACTTTAAATCCACAGGAAGGGCGGTGACCTCGAGGGAGGGGACACAACAGTTGTGTGGGGGTGTTATTGAAGAAGGGGCATCCCTCCAGCTGTGGGGTCCACACCACTCTCCTCCCAGTGGGCTGGAATTCCGGAATCAGAGTGACGCCGAGTCCCTGGGGAATGTGAGGGGTGCCGGTTCTCCCTAGAACTGGGCAGCCGTCTTTCCAGGCGCATTTGTTTCTTCATCTCTCTGGGCCTTAATTTTCTCAACTGTGAAAAGGGACAACCACCCCTGCCCCAGGGAGAAGTCAGTGCCATCGCAGATGTAAAAAGGCTTGATAAATGGTGAGGCACAAGTTGTAGGGACTGGTCACTAGCTGGGCAGGGATGAGGCCGGGAAGCAGCTCACTGAACAAGAGGCCAGGAGAGCTCGCAGCTCCAAAGGGAGGGGGGGCAGGGGGGAGGAGGTGCACAATGAGGACCTATGAGCTGTGGGGCTCAGGGTGTTGGGGCACAGTTGGGCCATGCTTGGGATCCCATGTGGATGGACGAAGCTTTCCTAGGCAGATTGTTTAGTTGGGGCCTTCCTTCTCACTGGGGGTCCTCTAGCTCTCAGGGAGAAAATTTACCTGCCCTGGGGATCTGGGCCCCTGCTCTTACCAGCCTCCTTTCCAGGCCCCTCCAAGAGCAAGGCGGCTCTAGATCAGGCAGGGAGGATGGGACGGGGTGGGTGGGGGAGGGGTTGTGTATGTTTGTGTGTGTGTGTGTGGGGGGGGGATTTGGGAAGACACATGGATGAGGGGAGAAGAGGGTAGGCAAGAAGCTGCAGGCTGGACTGCTCATGGCAGTCTAACCATGTCCCTCATCCCCCTGTGCCCACAGGCCCTTCTCCTCCTGGGGCTGAACCCCGTCTCTGCCTTCCTCCAGGACCAGCACTGCGAGAGCCTGTCCCCGGCCAGCAACGTCTCTGGTGAGTACCCCCACTCTGCTCCTGCAAGAGTCCAGCCGCCCCCCCCCCCAACTGCCACAGCCCATCACCTGCCCCACCAGGGTTCTCACACAGAGCCATGCCCTAAGGCAGGAACAGCAGAGATTTCCTCCCTAAGGTCCAAGCAATTCCTCTCTCCAGGGAGGGAGTGCCGTGTTAAGGCGGATCCTGAAACTGTGGTGGGAAAGAGAGCTGTGAATGGGTAACGGTGTCTGCCACACACACAGGGGGGGCTTGTGGCAGTGCGCTGGGCAGTTATCTGCCCTGCTTTGGGGTGGGCAACAGCTCGGGGCTGAGCTGTGGCTCGGGCATCGGGGAGGAGAAAGGCTGTGTTCTGTGTAGGGGCTAACTCTGTGCCAGACGCTGCCAGAGGTATCTGAGCTATATTAACCCAGGAAGGTGCTGTAATCCTCACTGTACACACAGGGAAACGGAGCACAGAGAAAAACGAGCAAGGGCCAGAGCCAAGATTTGAGACCAGGCAGGCTGGCTTCCAGATACGTCTTCAACACCAAGCTCGATAATGCCTCAGTGAAAATACTGCATAACTGCAAATATGACGATTACTTGTATAACTTTTTTTTTTTTTTACAAAGGGCTTTTGAATAATGGTCTTATTTCATGTTCACAAGAGTTTAAGACTCATCTGAGGGAACTTAGGCACAGGAGAGTTACATGGGGAATTTAGGTCTTTGGCTTTGCCTTGTCAAGACCATGCCTTTTCTAACTTGGGGTGTGACCCCCGAGCCCTCACCCCGGCTCCTGCGATGCTGCTGCTGGGCAGGTGGGAGGTCTCCCTGCACCTGAGGGTCTTAGGGAAGCTCAATCTTTGGTGATTTATTTCCCCCTTTAGGTCTTTCCTCCATTCAATCCAAAAGGCCTACTATGTAGCTGGGTTGAGGGGAAGGCACTTGCCATGAATTGCTCACTACAATGCAGGTGGCAGGGAAATTAGATCAGGAGTGGTATGAATCCAGGAAGGCTTTCTGAAGGAGGAGGTTCAAGGTGAGTCTCTGAGAAACTCTGAGTGTGGACTGGCAGAGAAGACCCAGTGCTCTGAGTCAAAGCTAGAGTTGACTGAAGACCAGCAGCTGAGTTTGGTGAATTTTCCATCTGGCTGCAAAGTTGGCTAAGCTGGGTCATGGGGAATGGGGAAGTTCTTGAGCAAGAGTCTGGAGTGCTAGTGGAGGGAGACTGGGAGGGAGGCCACCTGCTCAGAGGCTGGGCTTGAGATGAAAGGCCCTGCCCGTAGCCCCACATACATGGGGGCCAGGTCAGGCTCCATTAATTTGCTTGTTGTGTTCAGGAGAAGTGACATCCCTGAGCCACTGCAGGTATCACCTGTCCTTGGAGGCAACAGGCCATGATGAATGCCATTCATGCGCCAATGATTTGTACTCTGTGCCATTACCTCCAGCTTGGCCCAGCATGCGGGGCTTCATGGCACACAATCCATCACCCTCTACAATGGCCTCTGATAATGCGCTATTTGTCTTCAGAACCAAGACCTACCCAGACCAATGGGTACTGGTAGACAGATGGTGAGGGTGGGTGGAGGGATGGGGACAGATGGATGGGCGTCTGGCCGGGGCAGCTAGCACTGAACCGGGGCCTTTGGGGGTCTTCTCACATGCCAGGAATAGGGAGAGGGTGGGTCCCTGGAGCCATCATGTGGCAGATCATAGACTTGGCAACTCATAAAATCATGTCACGAATATGACAATGCCAGAAAGTAATGGAATTATTAACTAATGACAAATGCAATCATGTTGTTGACAAGAACCCATGGTCATCAGTCCCAACCCCTGTCTTAAGGTCATGGATAATAACAATAATTAATGATAGCTTATATTTATTTTGCGTCCACTAAGTGTAGACACCATTCTAAGTGCTCTAATCTCATTCAATCATCAAACAGCATAGCCAGAAAGTATTTTTATCCCCATTTTACAGAAGGCTCAGAAAGCTTTGATCACTTGCCCAAGCACATACAGTTACTAAGCAGCCACTCTAAGATTAGAAGCAAGTGGGCCCGACTCTAGACTTTCTCACCACCACGTTATGTGGCTGCCCAGAGAGCCGTGGTGCCCAGGGCCTAGTGTGGTCCATCATCCTGGGAGGCAAAGTCGCCCCTGCAACTTCCCATGCTCACAATGGGTTTGCACATGGCCCCTAATTGTCCTCCAGACCTACTATGTGCCTGGCACTGTGCTAGGTATTGGGAATGCAAAAATGAAGAGCCCACAGACCTATAGGACAGGAAGCCCACCCATTTGTCCTGATGAATCACACACTCTACAAAGGTATCTTTCTTCTCTGCCCAGACAAAGAGGAGGCAGCTCAACCACAAGGTGGTAGAGGAGCAGGACTCGCTGCCTGCCCTCTGCCACCCTCTCCAGGCTGGTGACACAGGCAGAGGCCCTGCCCATTCATCCCAGCAGCACCTTCCTCTGAATGGCAAGCGTGCGTGCGTGCGTGCGTGCGTGCGTGCGTGTGTGTGTGTGTTTCAGAAGCTGCCTCCCTCTCTGAACAGCCTTGGCTGAGTCCTGCTCCTGGGCTTAAACCAAACAGGAGGATGGGCTTCCCAGCCTCAGGGCTGCTGCCAAGTGCCCACCTACTCTGGTTACTCAGAAACCCCTGATGAGAGACCCGACATAACTGGGGCGGGAGCCAGGCTCCAGGCTCCCTCGGAAGGACCTGCTGAGCACATTTGCACCCTGAGCCTGGTGGGAAGGGAACTGTGCTACCTACTTGGAAGAAGACACCAGTGCCTGATCATGCACAAGCAATAAATAGCTACCTTCAAAGGGTTCTTATCTGTTCATTAAAGCAGGCCCCCCCCCCGATCCTGACTCAGCAAGGGTTTCCTCAGAGGCAGGTGGGAGCCACCCATGCTACTCCTCTTCCCTCCATTCGCAAGCGTTTGGGGGTAGTCTGACCACACTGCTCCCATGAGCAATGAGAGTGTGGAGTCGCCTGCATCTGCTCTGTGCACATGTGGGGAGGGAGGAAGATACAGGACCAGTGTTGCATTGGTCCACTTGACTCTGCCCCGCTCCCCACCCCCAAGTGACAGCAGTGTCAGCACGTTAGGCACACCAAGCACACGCCTGCCTCGGGACCGTTGTACTTGCTGTTCCCTCTGTCTTGAACACTGTTCCCCAGATATGCACATGCCTCCCTCCCTCGTTTCCTTTAGGTTTCTCCTTAAGTGCGCTTTAGACACACCAATTAAAATAGAGCTCCTGTCTATCTCCTCATCCTGCTTATTTTTTCTCCATAGTATTTCTCATTGCTTAACAGATCTGTCTGTTTGGGTTAAATCAAGTGCTGTGAGGGCCGGCTGCCCAGGCTGGGGCCAGCTGTGGTGCAGTGGGAAGAGCCCCGGCAGACATTAAACACCAACATTCAAAAACCACTTATGCCTCTCAGTGTCTGTGTGACTTTGGCTAGGCCATTTGACTGCTTGGGCCTCCGTTTCCTTATCTGTAAGACAGAGAGAATTAGCACCCATGTTGGCAGGTGGTGTGAGACCCACACAGTAGGTGATACAGAATCCACAGTCCAGGGGCAAATAGCGACGGCCCTACCCATTCTCACCCGCAAACCCTAGACCAGCTGTGGGTGGTGCCAGGGCTCGGGGCATTGGCTGCTGCCTGGTCCTCAAGGCCAAAAGGACCATCTGCTCGGTGGCCGGTCCCTGCCTTGGCTCTGCCCTGCCCTCTGTTCTTTGTGGTAGGGACTCTGGGGAAATGTCCAAGGCGGGAAAGAGAGGGAGAAGGAAGAGAGGGAGGGGCAATGGGACTGACTGAGAGGGTGTGTTAGGCTAGTCCCAGGTGCTGCCACACGTGACATACAGATGACATTCCGTTTAATCTTCCTAGTACCTAGCTCAGGAGGTACTTGAATGAATGAGTAAATGGACAACCTATTGAGGAAGGTCCGATGGTGCCATTAAATCAGATGGTGTATATATAAAGTGCCTGACAAGTGCCCTTCACACAGTCAGTCCTCAATAAATGTTACTCATTCCCCAATGCCTCGTGGACTGTTCCCCTTCCCTTTATTGGCACAAAATGTGGTGTCATAGAAAGAGCACTGGATTTAGGGTCAAAAACATGTGACTGTGTGTCTTGGTTCTTTCACTCATTGACTTATGACCTCAGGCAAGTCACTTGCTTCCATGGGCCTCCGTTTGCTCATCTGTCAAAAGGGGATAATGACATTGTAGGGTGGATGAGGATCCAACAAAATATATGAAGGAAAGTTTTACAGAAGCAGAGCATGGTTCATAACATTACCCCTCCACTCCCATGGCCACATGCCTCCAGTTACTCCCTCTTCCGGGCTCAGCACTATCGACATGACCATGACATTAAAATCTTAACATGCTTTCCTCACTCCGTGAAGCAGTTCAGGGATGCTGTGCTGTGGCACAGTGCCAGGACCTGGCCCACCCCAGCCACCTGGCCCACCGTCTCCTCAGAGCCATAAAGCCCCAGTCCAGATTTCTTTCTCTTTCAATTAAACCACTTGGCCTCAAGGCCTCTACCCCTTGAGCCCTGATTTGCACGAACACCCTGTGAATAGCTTTGATTAGAAATGAAAAACCAGCATTTGGTCCAAGTGCTGCTCAGCACTGCCCTGCATCCAGCAGGGACAGGACGCCAGTCTAATCCAGTGCTGTTTCCTGAGAGACTGGGGCCGAGCTAAGCTGGGGAGGAGATGGCAGGTGGGCCCAGCCAGGGCTTGGCAGCCGCTGATGCCCAGACCTAAAGAGGCTGACCCCACATTGGTTCATGGCTCTCCCTGGCTTGTCTGTGCATTCGTGTGCCACCCCAGGTTATTAACCCCTCCCATTATGCGAGGCACCCTGGGCACACTGTGCCAGCCCTATGCAAGTGATAGGCATCAAAAGGCAGAGAAAGGAGGGGAAGCCAGGAATGTGCTCAGTCCAGCCCCTGCCCATTGGAGACCAGAAGTATTACTGTGGCTTCGACTCTGTCCCAACACACACACACACACACACACACACACACACACACACACACACCACTTTCTAATTCATCTGCTTACATCCTTTTAAAAGTCACAGGCCCCTTTGAGAATCTAATGAAAGCCAAGGTCCCTTTCCTAAGCAAAATGCACATATAGACCAAGTTTTTCACTTAATCTCAGAGTCTCTATGAACCCTGAAAGCTTCCATGAACTGTGATTAAGAATTTCTGATCAGATCCAACCACTTCATTTTACTGTAAAGACACTCAGGTCCAGAGAGGGCAAGTGACTTGCCTACGGTCACACAGCAAATTAGTAACACAGCCCAGTCTGAAGTCAGGGTTCCAGACTCCTGGTTCAGTGTCCTTTCTGCTCCCCTGGATGGTGTCTCCCTGCCTTTTCTCCCCGTGGTCTCTTCTCCGTCCGTCCTCTCAGGGCACAGCGCAGAGGACACTGCAAGCAGTGTGTGTTCAGTAAATGTGGTCATCAGGCCAGCTGCAAGGCAGGCCAACTTCATTTAGCTGGTTCCTCCCTGCAGGGCTAGAGCAGACATGATTTGGTTCTGAAGACGTGTAAGGGGGACTGGTCAGGGGTTGGCTGGTTCCTTTCCACTCTGTGAAGTCTGAGAGCTCAGGTTTGCCCCAAGTGACGTGCCGAGAAAAGTGTCCTCAGGTTACAGAGCAGAGGGACCTGAAGCATGTCCAGCCTTCCGCTAAATGCCAGTCAGGACCTCAGCTTTTAACATCACCTCCTGCCATCTCTGTTCCTCCTCTGCTCTGGAATCTACTCTGGCTCCCTAGTGCCATCGCATCAGATCAGTTTCCTTCCCTGGTGTCTTCCCCTGCATAGGATGAGCGATCTCTGCACTAGGGCCATCGCTCCTGTCCTGTCCCCCGTTGGTGTGTGTGGGCCTATCGGGAGGTGGGGAGGACACTGGAGGGGGATCTTGCTCTGCCTCACCAGCTGTCTCTGCCCCCAGGGCTGCAGTGCAATGCATCCGTGGACCTCATTGGCACCTGCTGGCCCCAGAGCCCTGCGGGGCAGCTGGTGGTTCGACCCTGCCCTGCCTATTTCTACGGTGTCCGCTACAACACCACAAGTAAGGGGGCCTGTGGAGGACCGACTTGGTGGAGACGGGGGAAATAATAATGACAAAAACGATAATAACAGTACCTCTCGTGGATACAGCAGCTACCATTTACCAAAGGCCAGCTCTGCTCTGCTGGGCACTGTGCGCTCACATTGTGGATTCTCACAATACCCCCGGAAGACACTATATATAACTGGATAGTGTTCATTATGCAACTGAGGCCTCTGAGGCTCAGAGAGGTTAGGAAACTTGCCCAAGGTCACCAGGTGGGAAGAGGTGAAGCTGGACTTGCATCCAGGCCTGTGTGACACTTCCTTCTGCAGTTGACAAGGTCAACTTGAGCCTCCAACAACCCCATGAGGGAGGGCGGGAATCCTCAGAACAGGCCAAACTTTGGGATGAGAACCCTGAGCTGAGAGCTGTTATGAGGCCGGCCCAGGTTATGAGCCTGGAGGCGGAGGACTCCGAGTCATGATCTACAGCCATGTTGGCCTCCCATACGGGCCCACAGGTGGAGTGGGGGTAGGGGAGGACTAACCCAGTGTTCAGATATTTGATCCCTTTGTAAACACCTTGCTCCCCTGAGGCCCTGAGCCTCCACCTCCAGGCTTTGCAGCTCCTTGCTATGTCACCTGTCACCCTCAGAATTAATTTGCTCTCCCCTGTCAATGACTCACAGCCCCTGCCTATCAAGACAGCAACACCTGCAGGCCAGAGTCCCGACCTGTCCAAGGGGAGGGGGGGTCCCGGGTGGGGTCCCGGGTCTGGTGGGCCCGAGCTCAGGGCCCCAAAAGGGTACAGGGGGGCCACAGACACCAGGTGGTTCACTCTGAGACAGGCTATGTGACCTTTAGCACATCTCCCCCCTCTTATGGCCCTCTGCCCCCTTTCTGAGGATGGAGAGGGATAGATGACATGGCTTCTAATACTTCATTAGCTCAAAGCTCCCAAGTTCCATCTCCTGCCCCTCTCTCCTTTACCAGCTGGACTAAGGTTAGGGTTGGGGGCTGCAGCCAAGAAAGGGTTGGAAGGCCCTGGGGAGGCATTGGGGCCAGAAAGGAGGTTGGAACAGCCAGACCAAGCAGCTTCATGTGCCTGGAACCCACAGAAGGAGAAGAAAGACTGGTAGGGGTGTGGGGGGACATCAGGCAAGAGGAAGGGCAGAAGGACCTCAGAGGAAAGCTTGGGGTGCACAGCAGCCAGCCTCCAGTTTAGTAAGGCCCATTTCACAGTTAGAAAATGGAGGCAGAGGCTGTTAGCTGCCCAGGGTCACAAAGCTTAGAAGCAGGGCCACACTGAGAGTCAGAGCCCTCCTGCTACTCCACCCACAATGCTGTGTACCTACAGGAAGGAGGCAGCATTGGGGCTGGTGCATTATGGGGGTGTGTTGGAGGGAGGTCCCTCTCCCTCTCAGGTACCAGGTCCTGCCTTTCACCTCCAAAGTGATTTTCATGTCTAGCCCTCCCTGCCCCCAGTCCCAATGCCACTGTCCCTGTCCAAGATACCCGATCTCTAACCTTTGTTTTGCATCTGACCCCATCACACCCTTGTTTGGAGTCACCTTTTCTATGACTCCCCATTGCCTCCATGGTCAAGTCCATACCCCTGAGTGGGGCTGGCCAGGCTCTCTCCAGCTGAAGCCCCACCAAATTATAGCCAGCCCTGGCCACTCCCTATGAGCTTCCTCCACTCTTGTCCCCAAGGATGACTTGACACGCCCCAAAGTGAGTGTTTTCAGAACTCAGTGCCTGGGCATGTGCCACTCAATTCGCCAGCCATGCCTTAAATGGAAGCCAGGAGTCCTGGGTTCCAGCCCCAGCTCCGTGTGTAACTGGCTGAAGAACCTCGGCATTCCCACTGGGCCTCAGTTGCTCCACCTGCAGGGTGAGAGGGAGGTTTGGGTGGGGTGCTCTTCGGCCTCCTCTGTCTTCCCTCTGTGATCCCAGGAGAGGAGCTGGGGGCGATGGTCCCTAGTCGTGGGGGTTGGGCTGGCAGATCCCCCTCTCCAGATGCCTAGTGTCGAACAGTGAGGAACACGCCCATGCAATCAATAGTGAGTGAGAACCCAGAGTTGCACCTAATCATTAAACACTAATTAATTTATTTACTGATGAGGTGCTGCTGGGACTTCCTGGCCTTCTCCTTAATGCCCTCCTTCCCGCTGCATCTGATCTTCAAAGACATGGGGAGAATTTCCAAAAATATCCATTTTCCCATGATTCTCCGGGAAGACTGCTCAGCTCAGCAATCAAAGACAAGGAGGTCGCATCCTCCCTGGCAACGACTCCCTGCTTGTCAGGCCTGTTTTCTTTCAGGGTCGCCTCCTGCCTCCCCACCAAAGCCTGCTCCCTCTGGATGACCCGGCCGGGTAGGGACTCCAGCTCCTGGCCCCACATGTGCGGTGTGAATGGGGGGCTTAGGCTAAGAGCATGGCTCTTGTTAGCCCCACCAGTACCCCCTTTGATAGGGACAAGTGACATGTTCTAAGTCTTATGTAAATACAGCTCCAAGACAATAATAATAACAACCACAGCTCAAGCCACCGGCCGGTGGAGCTCCAAGCACTCTGCATAGTTAACTACAATGCTCACTCAACCAATCGGTAGAGCTGTTGTTAATTCTGGTCTTTCAGGAAGGAAGTTGAGAGGTTGTGTGACTTGCCCAAGGTCACACAGCTAGTGAGGGACGGTGCCAGATTTTGAACCCAGACTGTCTGGGTGGAGAGCCATGCTCTTAACACGGCTTTGTTCTGCCTCGCTTAGGCAAGAACCACTCCCCCAAGTCCCTTTCTTTGCAGACAGAGCAGAGACACTGGATCCCCTGGTTCCTTGCCTCCCCCCAGACCCCCCTAAAAACCCTGTCACTAAGCTCTCAGCCCTCTGGTAGCTTATCCTTCATTTAGCAATTAGGAGAGAGTGAGCAGCATCGTAGCCTCTGCCCAAGGCTCAACTCCGCTGAGACTCGGGCCCACTGGCAGAGAAGCTGAGCAGAGCTTTAAAAACCCATTTAGCCTGTTTCCCCACTGGCCTGCTACAGAGGCGTGAGCGGCCTTTCAGCAGAGGGGCTGGGGAGCGGGGTTAGCGAGGAGGCCTCACAGCCTTGCAGCCCTGGAGGCCAGACCCTGTCTCCCTCTCTCGGTGATGCAGTAGCGTCTCCCCCCACCGCCCACACCATCTTCTCCCTCTGGTCCTGATGCTGCCAGCGGAGAGGCAGCTCCTAGGCTGGACGGCCCCTTGGGGGTCCACTAGTCCAGCCCTCCCTGGTGCACATGAGCAGAGGGGCCCCAGAGGCCAGCGGGCCCCAGTTCCTCACGCAGCACAGCAGCACTGAGCCGGCCCTGGGCCCCCACCTCTGTCTCTCACACACTGCTCTGCCCCTGCCGGGCCCCAGGCTCAGGGACTGGGACTCAGACAGTTCTCTCAGCTGTCCTCCTGCCCCGTGACATGAGGGTCAGTGGGAACTGTGGAAAGGCCTGCAGCAGGACAGAGGCTCCAGCGGAAATGGCTCAGGACTCAATTCCCTTCCAGCCAGTTCTGCCTGGAGTGAGGAATTAAGTCAAGGAAATATCTTTAGAGCCACTGATGCTGGACGGGGTACAGGGTGGGACAGGACTACCTTTACCAGCAAAGGAGGAAGACTTGAAGTTGGGATCTCTCTTGTCCCTTCCCTACTGGGTTTCAGAGTCCTGGTGACACGCCCAGGGGGGCCCTTTGTGCAGCTCTTGTCATCCCAGGGCCTGAATCCAGGCCTCAGACCATGGGGCTCCTCCCCATCCCTAGACGGTGACAGGTCCTGGGCTGTAGTCCAGCTGATGGCTGCACAGACCTCACCCCTCCTTGGGCCACTCTTCTGTCTTTTCTCCCCACTGCCATGTGCCATTCTGTGAGCCAGCTGTAGAGGTCCTAATAATGAGACACTTGTTACATGAGACCCACCCCCTGTGAGGTCCCCAGCACAACCCTGCTACCTATCATTTTCTGTCCCACGAGACCTCCACCAGGGATGTTCCCAACATGGGGAAATGCCCCTGTGGGGGCCTTCCCCGGCACCTGCCCGTGAGCCTCACCCCCGTGGAGCATGTGAGGACCCCCCACAAGAACCTCACCGCAATAGTCACCATAGGACACCCTGTCATTGCATTGTGCCACGTGAGCTGCCACCACATACCCTTCCGCCATATCATGCCCAGCCTCGGGAGTGAGATTGACTCATCAGACCTCACCATTCGTTTCTGCTGTCACGTGAGACCCCAAAATGGAAAAGTCCTCAGAAGGGAACCCACCACATAATCTGCCACCACATAAGGGCTTGCGAGGGAAGAGCCCAGTGAGCTGGTCAAGACTGCCCAAGGGCCAGTCTCGTGGGCATGATCATGCCAGCACGAGTGGGCAGAGCCGTGCCCCCATGGTCAGGCGCTGGAGTCCACACTGGGCCCCTATTGGATCCAGGGGGCAGAAAGAGGCAGGAAGCTGGGGTAGTAGGGAAGCCCCTCGTGCCAGTCTGTGAGCCAGCTGTAGAGGTCCTAATAATGAGACACTTGTTACATGAGACCCACCCCCTGTGAGGTCCCCAGCACAACCCTGTCATTTTCTGTCCCAAGAGACCTCCACCAGGGATGTTCCCAACATGGAGAAATGCCCCCATGGGGGCTTTCCCCAGCACCTGCCCTTCTGAGCCTCACCCCCGTGGAGCACGTGAGGACCCCCCACAAGAGCCTCACCGCAATAGTCACCCTAGGACACCCTGTCGTTTCATTGTGCCACGTGAGCTGCCACCACATACCCTTCCGCCATATCATGCCCAGCCTCGGGAGTGAGATTGACTCATCAGACCTCACCATTCATTTCTGCTGTCACGCGAGACCCCAAAATGGGAAAGTCCTCAGAAGGGCACCCACCACATAATCTGCCACCACATAAGGGCTTGCAAGGGAAGAGCCCAGTGAGCTGGTCAAGACTGCCCAAGGGCCAGTCTCGTGGGCATGATCGTGCCAGCACGAGTGGGCAGAGCCGTGCCCCCATGGTCAGGTGCTGGAGTCCACACTGGGCCCCTATTGGATCCAGGGGGCAGAAAGAGGCAGGAAGCTGGGGTAGTAGGGAAGCCCCTCTCCCCAGCTTCACCAGCAGTCAGGCCCTGTGCTGGCCCAGGTGGATGGATAGATGGACAGGGGGAGGGGCAGACAGATCCCTAGTTGCTATTTGGGAGAGGAACCGCGGGTCACTCTGCCTCTCTCTCCTTTGTCCAGACAACGGTTACAGAGAGTGCCTGGCCAACGGCAGCTGGGCCGCCCGCGTGAACTACTCAGAGTGCCAGGAGATCCTCAGCGAGGAGGTGAGGCTGCCATGCGGCTACCAGGGCCCCCAGCCGAGGTCTTGCCTGCTACTTGGCTGGGGGCCAGTCAGGGTGGGGGAGCCAGAGGCTGATGGCAAGGCCCTGGGAACTCAAACTCATGTATCCAGGAGGGAGGCTGTGCCACGTGGGCAGTAGGCAGTGGGCAGGCTGATGCGAGGAGTCCTCGTTCCTTCCTTCCCTCCTTCCACCTGCTCGCTGGGACAGGTTTTCATCCATTTTCCACCTCTCCCTCCTGAGCGACATATCCAGGTGCAGCCAGGGGCTATATCAGAATCGGGGGTGGGAGTGGGGGCAGGGCAGCTTGAAAAAGCCCTTTTATTTATTTAATCCCCA